TTTTAATATCCAAGTAAATTAAAACATGACAACTTAAAATAAGACAAAGTTTAATAAATTCTTTTTAATTATTAAATTATAAAATTAATTTGCGATAATAATGTTTACAATTTGTACTAATATTGGATGTGGTTGAGAATTATTAATATATATTCGTCTATAAAATTTAATCCATGAATTTTTTTCGTAGTAAAATCAACTTGCCATTGATCTTTCGCTGATAATTGATGCTTTTTAACAGAATCTATAGCCCAAGATTTCTCTTGAAAAATTAGTTTTGTGATCTGAAATAATTCCATTAAAAAATTATTCATATGAAAAATTAATTTTGTGATCAGTGCTACCCAAACCACTACTACTATTTACACCGGTGTTTCTCAATGGGGGCAATATCGCCCCCATGTGGGCGTTTTTCCATGTTGAGGGGGCGATTAGGAACAATTTATATTTTGGGGGCGAAAAACAATTTTCTGGGGGATATAGTAAAACATTATATTAAGAATAATTAGATATTTTATTCGTTATATCGTACAATAATTAAACAAATAACCTTATACTAGTCACTAGTCTATTCAATGCGGTACGAATTTGGCATTAGCCTTGGCCCTCGGCATCAGAATTTTGTAGTGAAGAGGGCGATACTACGTAACGGTTTTACTGAAGGGGGCGATACTACGTTGAAGGGGCGATGATTCCTTAGAGGTTGAGAAACACTGATTTATACCATAGACTTCTATGCATACTTTTTCCCCATGAGTTTTAATAGAATTTGTTGCCAATAAACATCCAAGAACAGCCAGTAGTATGTCGTCATCAGATGCCATGGCCGACTGACTGACTGACTGAGAGACAATGGTGTAGCGAACATAACTGGCGCCCGGGCACGACACTACATTGGCACCCCTCCTCCCCCAGAAACAAATCTTGTTTGTCTTGGAGACCATTTGGAGCCCCTCTGCAAGTGGCGCCCAGGGCCCGTGCCCTACTTGCCTCACCCTAGCTACACCTCTACTGAGAGATTTTCTTCTTCATGTGTGGGCAATAGGAAATTCTGAAGTTCCTCAAGGTCAGGCAGCCTCAAAGGATTAACTTAACATGTATGGCCACCTTAATGGCCAAACAGAAAGTCTGTTGTTTGCAGTGTCTCTTATTCGAGGTGTATGTTATATGAGGCACCACTGTATATATATTTTTACTAAAAAAATATATATATAAAATGTGAGAAAATTTTAATTAAAAAAAAAAATATATATATATATATATAAAT